CTAAACCGGCTTCCTGAAATAGGGCCCAGGTCTTGTACCTGATGACACAAAGGCTCCTAACAAGAGAACCGGTGTCGTGTACGTATAACACACAACTTAGCCACTGTGAAATTGTATCTTTAGGCTCATTGTTACCAGCAGCCTGTCATAAACACACATCAGTTGTTTCCATTTCTTTAGTTCAATCAAAGATTTCACATTTTGACATAAAAATATTTGGGGGTGAAAAAAGTGATTTCCAAGCAGCCGGACGTGTCTCGTCATGGTGTGCGGTGTGTCGGGATGATGGTCGCGGTCATCCTGATGCTGCAGGATCAGGTCGGTATGCAGAGAGGTCGGGAGAGACACGGTAGAGGCTCTGTATTATTTGGGCCGTGGTCAGTGGTGTTGCAGATCTTTATGCAACTATGAACTCTGAAAAAGAACCATCGGATTTTCTTCCACCGTGTAGTACCACCTGGAAACCGTCTGTCTGCTAACGGCTTCATTTTTCAGCACAGTGATGATTCAAACACTGGGCCGATACAGTAAAACCATTCCTTCATGGAAAAACACACATCTGATCAGTCATTGGTCGGCCTCCCCAGAGCCTGGACCTCAGTTTGGGATCATCCCGACAGAGAGAAGAACAAAAGGCAGAAAGAAAAGCTTTGAATCCTTCAGGACGTCTGGAGAACTGTTCCTGAAGATCCTCACAGATGTTACAGAAGCTGGCACAGAGGTCAAGCTGGAACCGGACAAACTCCCCAAAAAACACAAGGAAATTTGGATAATTCAAGACTTTTGCACAGTATTTCATGTGATTTAATTCAGCGTGTTTAATGTGCAATCGACTGTTTTACATCTGGGGGGTTGGGGACGTCTGGGGATATCGTGCCCTTGTCAGGCAGACAAGATGTCTGAGCTGTTTAGAGCTGTGGAGATAAACATATCCTCACCTCAGAGAACATCTGTGAGAAAGTTTGAGGGATAGGAGAGTTATCAAAAACAGTATGAAAGCATTCTTGTGTTAATAAAGGAGGCGGATAAACTTGACTTCTTTCCCACAACAGGTTTGCATCTTTGCTGCTGCCGTAAAGAGTCAGAAGAGCACCAGATATCGTAGAGAAGTATTTCCAACAAATAGTTTTGGGTTGTTTGAAGAAACTTGACTCATTAGGGATGGACGTGTCCTGTGGCGGACACTGGGATGTTTGTAGAGACCGCTGCCTCCGGGGAGTGTCGTCGCTACGAGCAACTGTCCTGACCTAATATGCAAAATGGTTTTGGTGAGACACGAGTGTTTAGATGCTAGATAGTGTTTTTTATTCTCTGTCAGTAGTGTTAATGTTGTAGCTGACAGCCGTGTGCGTGTG